TCACGACCTTGCGCTTGCCAGACAGGCGCTTTGCCGCTGAGCTAAATCCCCAGCCCCCGCTTTCCTCTAATATTGGTTGGCACTTTCACAGCTTGTAACCTTAGCTGCTTCCCCTAGAGCCCCTTCTTATAAACATGCAAACTCCTAGTCAACCTCCAACACCCAGTCTAAATGCCCCTTATGCAATGAAACCTTCCCTGATTTTCTGCTTTCCACTCCTACTTCCCCAAGCTAGTTCCTTCTGCTTCAGAGCTCTGCTGGTATCTACTAAGTCACCCGCAAGAATCATTCTGAATGTGATTATCTATTTTTAAATCTTTAGGTTAGATTCGAGACTACACTCCACTAGACTAAATTCCTAGAGTGCTGGGACTGTCCCATAGCAATTGACCCAGCACTGAAAAGAAATGAGTGAATGCAGAAACATAACGAAATAGGGACATAAGGAGAAACTCCACCCGCGTCCTAGGTCACTGACTGCTGTCCCCAGAGGCTTCGTGTGGACGGGAATCCCCTGCACTCCAGTCCTCCGGGCGCCCCATCCGCGCGTGGCAGCTCTTGGAGACGGCAGACAGGGTCAGGAGAGCAATGGCTGCTCGTTTTCGGGCAATGCGGCAGGACCAGAGATCAAGGACGCAGCCCTTTCCAGATGGCTCGGGCTCCGTCCCCTAAAGGACGCAGCGGACCCTCCCCAGGTCCACCACCTACCCGAGACCCCCAGCCCTAGCCCACGTTACCTGCGCTGGTTTAGGCAAGTCCCAGGCCTGGTTCCGCCCCCAGGGCGGGGCGTAGACACCGCCCCTCCCCCGGCCCCGGAAGCAGGTCGGGCCAACCGCAATGCGCTGCTCCTGCTCCGTTCGCCCTGCCCCAGCGCCCCGGGTACTCCTGGACCCAGCTAGCTACCGCTCTGAAACACTGTGTCCCGAGGAACAAGCTGAGCCCTCCCGGGAGCTGCCGCGTAAATAAGCCCGGGCTACCTGGAAACAACTCACAAGGGAAATGTCTAGAGCTGGGCGTCCACTTGGGTGACCCAAGTTCCTCGGACAGCTGGTTTATCCTAAAAGAACTAGCACTTGCACTTTTAGTTACAGAAGTAGTTAGGACGGGCGTTGTTGGTTTTTGGTTTGGTTTAGTTTTTTTGAGACAAAGTCTCACTGTGTAGTTCAGGCTGACCTTCAACTCATTATGTAGCCGGGGCTGTCATCGAACTCGCAGCAATCCTCCTGCCTCAGCCTCCAGAGTGCTGGGGTGACAGGCATGCGCCAGCATGTCCAGCGGCTTGGTTTTTTGTTTTGTTTTGAGACAGGATCTTGCTCTGTAGTTTGGGCTGGCTTCAAACTCACGACGGACCTCCTGCTTCAACCCGGCAGAAACAGCTTGTAAAGGGGAGAGCTGAGGGTTCTCTCCAAAGTGTGCAATCTCCCTGCGCAGCTCTGAGGTCAGTTCAAATCGTGATGCCTTAGAGAGCACACACATTCTCTAACTGCTGTTTATTATTATGGCAGGCTCCACATGGTGGCCCTTTTCTCCAGTTTACAATCTCATCAGAGGGAGACTGAACAAAAAAATACAACTAGGCACAGTTTTAAAGAGTCCAAGGAACGTTGTTTTGAAAAAAAATTTTTTTTCTCTTTAAAATAAAAATAAAGGGGGCTCGGGGCTGGGGATTTAGCTCAGCGGCACAGCACCTGCCCCGCAAGAGCAAGGTCGTGAGTTCGATCCCCGGTATCGGAAAAAAAACCAACAACAACAAAAAAAATGGGGCTCAAGGAATAAAAAGTCCATTAAGCAGGGCAGGGCAGTGCACACCTGTAGTCCCAGCAGTTGGGAGACTGAGGCCCATCTCAGTAAGTTTGAGGCCTGGGCTACATAGTGAATTGAAGACCAGCCCAAGCTCCCTTTCTCACTCCCCAGCCAACCTGACGCCTGCTCCAGGATAAGGGCCATATGTACCCAAGGCGGGAAGATGGTGGCCACAAGGAAGATGAAAAAAATTCTCTGGAGTCCATCAACCCCAAGATCCAACTCCTTATGAAAAGTGGGTTAAACTGGGCATGATGGAGCACACCTGTAATCCCTGCACTCGGGAGGCTGAGGCAGGAGGATTGTTTCGAGTTTGAGGCCAGCCTGGGCTCCATTGTGAGTTTAAGACCAGCCTGAACTGCATAGTGAGACCCTGTCTCAAAAAGACCAGAAAAAAAAAAAAAAAAAAGAAAAAAGAAAGAAAAGAAAAGGTTAAAAGTGGATGCTGAAATTGATCAGACATGGCAAAGGGAAATTGTTCATCCTTGCCAACAACTGCCTAGCTTTGAGGAAATCTGAAATAGAGTACTATGCCATGGTGGCCAAAACTGGTGTTTACCGCTACAGGGCAATAATGCTGAGCTGGGCGGAGCATGTGGAAAATACTCCAGAGTATGCACGCTGGTGATCATTGATCCAGGTGATTCTGGCATCGTTGGAAGCATGCCAGAATAGACCAGTGAAAAATAAACCATGCAACATTTTTCATTAATAAAACTTGCCAGGGCCAGGCATGGTGGTGCACGTCTGTAATCCCAGCACTCAGCCTGGGCTACATAAGTGAGTTCAAGGCCAGCCTGAGCTACGCAGTAAGACCCTATCTCAAAAAAACAAAAACAAAAACAAAAAAACCAACCCTAAAAACAAACAAAAAACTTGTCAGAGCTTGTTTAAAAAAAAAAAAAAAAAGACCATCCTGAACTACATAGGGAGACCCTGTCTCAAAAAAATAAGTAAACCGAATGTGGTGGCACATGCCTGTAATCCCAGCACTCGGGAGGCTGAGGCAGGAGGACCATTGCGAGTTCGAGGCCAGCCTGGGCTGCAAAGTGAGCTCAAGGCCAGCCTGAACTGCATAGCAAGACCCTGTCTCTTGGGGGCTGGGGATTTAGCTCAGCCGCATAGTGCCTGCCTGCCAAGTACAAGGTCGTGAGTTCGATTCCCAGTACTGGAAAAAAACAAAACAAAACAAAAAAGACCCTGTCTCAGAAAGATAGATAGATAAATAAATAAATACAGGCAACCAAGGAGAGTACCTGTTTTTGAGAAAGCTCCTGCTCTGTCACAGTTGTGGTAGGGAATACAAGAGACAATGTATACGAAGTGCTCCACCCAGGGGTTGGAGTTGGTACCCCTGGTCTTCTGTAAAGGATTAGGCCTTTTTTTCCCAGCTATGTGTAAGCTTCTATCTCTGGGTCTATCCATCTGTATTGTCTTTGCTCGGTTTCCTAGCCTTAGGTTCCCTGTGACTCCTCAAAATGTGGAGAGAGAGGACTGCTGCAAGTTTGAGGCGACGCTGGACTACATATTGAGTTCAAGGCCAACCTCCTAAACTACATGGTGAGACCCTGTCACCACACCGCCAAAAAGGCAGGGAGATGGCTCATCTATGTCTGATTCTGAGAACTGTACTCCTTGAATTAGAGGAAACAGGTGAGGCTGGAAACAGGAACCCTGGGACTCCAGCACTAGGGTAGCTTAGTGGGAAGAGGCCAGATGTACTTAGGTTCAAATTCAGGCTTCAGCACTTAGAAGAAGCTGAGGCAGGAGGACTGCAAGTTTGAACCCAGCCTGGACAGCTTAGTGAGACCCTGTCTCAGAATGTATTTTTATTTATTTATTATTTATTTTAAAGAGGAAAAAAATAAAATAAAATAACAACAAAGACAAAAACAAAACAACATAAAAACAATAAAAAGATACAGATTTTCAAAACAAGAAATAGGAAATTAACAATGGTTGTTGTATTACATATTGTTATCTTCAACAAAGTTGCTCAGATTACCAGATGTAAGAATGCAAGATCGATCAAACAATTAAAAAGAATTAAAAAATTATTAAAAAACATTAGAAATGATACAGAGCTTCACTAAACAGGATGGTAGGGATTCAACAGTGGTTGTTATATCTATCTCAGAATTAAAAAAAAAAAAGGGCTGGAGAGTAGCTCAATGTCAAGACCCTGGGTTCAATCCCCAGTATTGAAAAAGAAAAAAAAAACTCCAGAGTCCACCACAAATCATCAACTCTGACATTTGGCAAATTTATTACCCTCTGCACTCTAGTTTCCTCATGGATTGAATAGGGATAGTAATAACTTAAAGTGCAAAGGGAGCTGTTGAGACGATTTCATAATACAAGTGAAAGGCTTACTTGGTAAGTTTTTTAGCTACTTTTGCTATTTTGTCACCCTAACTTAGGCCTCTTCTATTCCCTTATTTCTTACCAATAATACCTCGTCTTTTCCCCTTTGAGCATTAATCATGGGTACTCCCATAGGGTCTCTCCCATAGGGTCTCACTATATAGTTCAAATTGGCCTTGAACTCATTATGTAGCCCAGGCTGGCTTTGAACTCCCAGTGATCCTCCTGCCTCAGCCTTGCAACTGCTGGAATTATAGGTATGTGCTACTATGCTCAGCTTTTTTTAAAAAAATACAATTTTATTTATTTAATGTGTGGTGTTTTTTTGGGGGGAGCTTCTTTGTGAGACAGGGTTTCACTATGCAGTTCAGTCTGGCCTTGAGCTCACTTTGTAGCCCAGGCTGGTCTCGAACTTTCGATGATCCTCCTGCCTCAGCCTCCTGAGTGATGGGATTACAGGCGTGTGCCACTATGCCCGGCTTTTTGTTTGTTTTTGAGACAGGGACTTGCTGTGTAGTTTAGGCTGCCCCTGAACTCTCTATGTAAGCCAAGCTGGCCTCAAACTCATTGCAATCCTCCTGCCTCAGCCTCCCTGGTGCTGGGATCACAGATGTGTGCCATCACTCCTGGCAAATTGTTGGCTCTTAAAAAAGTATTGTGTCAGCTGGGCATGGTGGTGCATGCCTGTAATCCCAACACTCAAGGGGCTGAGGCAGGAGGATCGTTGAGAGTTTGAGACCAGCCTGGGCTACAAAGTGAGCTCAAGGCCAGACTGATCTGACTAGCAAGACCCTGTCTCAAAAAGACAAAAAAATGTATTGTCTCATTTCTCTTACTCTGCTGGGGCTTTTTCTCTTAGCACACGTGACTTTTTAATACACTGTATATCTTTTATTTATTATGTTATTTATCCCTTCTTTTTTTTTTTTTTTTTGTATTGGGACTTTATGCTCAGGTGCTTATGCCACTGAGCTATATCCCCAGCCTATGTTATGTATTCCTTTACTAGAATAAAAAACACAGGTTGAAGATAGAGATCTTTATTTATTGTGTTCTCTGAGTATTCCAAGTGCTTACAACGATAACTTGTGGATAGATGGTGCTCAATATATAACTATGGAATGAACAAATGGTAAAGGTATTCTAAGTGCCAAGTACTATTCTTTGTTTTTTTTTTTTGTTTGTTTGTTTTGTTTTTTTTTTTGGCTTTTTGAGACAGGGTCTGGCTATGCAGTTCAGGCTGGTCATGAGCTCACTTTGTAGCCCAGGCTGATCTCGACCTTGCGATGATCCTCCTGCCTCAGTCTCCCGAGTGCTAAGATTACAGGCATGAACCACCATGCCCTGCTTTTTTTTTTTTTTTTTTTGAGACAGGGTCTTGCTATGTGGTTCGGGCTGGTCCTGAACTCACTATGTGACCCAGGCTGGCCTCAAACTCCGTGTGATCCTCCTGCCTTAGCCTCCTGAATGTTGGGATTATAGGCATGCGCCACCAT